ATATACAAGTAACTTAAAGATCAAAAAAGTTAAGTGCAAATTTATGCTACACATGTGGCATATGTGGCGCCCTCTATCAGCTACATTAAAGTGTGCATCAAATTATAATTTGTTATATTTAAAAGTACCCATGTGTAATTTTTTATATATAAATGTTTACAAACATGAAAGTAATAGCGAAAAACAAAATTTTTAATTTGCACTTTAACACCCTGTATCTTCTTAATATTCATCATTTTATCATTTTATTAAAGCGCTTTGGCTTAAATTGTAATATTTTAAAAAGTGTAGACTCTACTGTTTCTTTTTTTATAATTACTTTAGGACCGCCCTGTACATAAAGATGCCCTTTTTAAACATAAATTTAAATGTACAGGGTGTCTCATGTAAGCGTAGTATAGCTCATAAGCTTTGAGCATGACTATAACAGGGTTGAACTTTCAACTTATACAGTGTGGGAACCACTTATGGATTAAAATTGTTTGTGTTCTTATTTTAAAAAATTATAAAATACGCTGGGGTACGTCAACTTTTAAATTCAAATATACCCTTTTTAGTCTAGCATTGTCCATCATCTTTATTTTTAATCGAACACACTGTATATTTTTATGTTTTTAGAAGCCCCTTAACGATCTGATCTTAACAAACTATTTTATGTGGGGTCTATTATAAATAATACATTGTGAAATTTGGAAATTATGTACAATTTTCGTCATGAAATTAAATACAAAACCAATATATTGATATTTAGTTTAGAAAATTTGAAGTCTGTATTTAGATCATTTAAAAAAATATATTATTTAAATTGTGATTAATTAATTTTAATAAAGTTTGAATTAATTTCAAAATTTTATGTATTTAATGTCTTGACAAAATTATACATAACTTCAAAATTTGACCTTGTATTATTCATAATAGACCCTACAGAATATACCGTAATTTCGAGGACCCTTAAGCTAACGGGGACAAATGAGCGGAATCCAATTTACCCTCCGTAATATTTTTTCATCCATTTTTCACTAATTTATTACCACCCTAATAATTTTTCACCACCAAACCAGCCTTAATGGAAGCGATTCTGCTAGCTTAAGATTCAAGCTAGCAGAATTCAAAAAAAAAACTTTTTGCCAATGGCATATTTTTTCATCCATTTTTCATTAATTTATTACCACCCTAATAATTTTTCACCACCAAACCACTCTTAATGGGAGCGATTCTGCCGGCTTAAGGTTCAAGCTAGCAGAATTCAGAAAAAAAACTTTTTACCGATGGCATATTTTTCACCCATTTTTCACTAATTTATTACCACCCTAATAATTTTTCATCACCAAATCTTCCTTAAGGGGAGCGATTCTGTTGGCTTACGGTTAAAGCTAGTAGAATTAAAAAAATATATTTTTATGATATACTAGGTTTTTACGAATTTATTACCACACTAGTAACTATTCACCCCTCAACTACTCCTTATGAGAAGTCAATAATTCTGTTGGGTTGATATTTAAGTTGATAAAAAATCTATTTTTCAAATTTCACTGTACTCTACTCATAACTGAATCATAAATTGCTTGCCAGGTTTTCACTGACTTTTATCCACCCTCATAATTTTTGACCTCCTAAGCCACAGTTAATGGCTCCTTTCTTGTAGTGCTATTTTCTTTTACTGACTTCTTCTGAGCCGCTTTTTTTTGCAACTGCATCATCTTGTTGGCTTTTAACATCGTCAGCACAGATACTTTTTCCTGCTGCAATTACTATTTTTTTTTAATAACTCCATGAGCTGTGGTCTGTAATCACCTTTTTTCTGCAAGAAAGAAAATTTAATAGCGTCATTTACTCTCGAAGGTACTTGCGCAGCATCAGTTTTATAATTTTACCATTTACACTAATTATTTCAACCAGTTTTTTCAAAAGGGTGTGAAAGGCGCTTTTTGGGATTAAGTTGGTGTTAACGTTCAGTGTTTTGTTCTACCAAAATATTTCGCCAAGCTATTTTCATCGGTCGAAAGTAGGCGACATATAATGGCTGTCTTAGGTGCGTAGATTTGGCAGGAAGACACAAAATTAATGTTTTCTGATTCACAAAGCTGTAAAACTTTTAATGATATTAATGATATATGGGACAATAAATTGTCACCAATTAACACTTTAATGTCAGGAATGCTTTTCAATGTAGGAAACAAAAGAGAAATGAATTAGTCTTCGAAACAAGCTGTTTCGAACCATCCACTTTTCGATCGCCATTTTCTACCCAAGTCGACTACAGTATATGGGATTTATATACGACGTATGGAGGTAGCATTTCTCCAGACGCATTTTCACAAAACATTATTGATGTTGCCAATTTACTAAAATTCATCATTCTTTCAGGATATTTAGTCCCACGTTTTGTTAAAATTTTCTGGGGTCGTCACTTAAACTTGTTTCATCATAGTTTCAAATGTTCTTAGCTGGGACATCGAGAAGTTCATTCTGCAATTTGTTAAAATAGCCTCTTATAGTGGTTTCACTAATTTCTGTTCCCGATCGTTTGATGTTGCTTGCAAAACGTTGTGTTAAGAACGGATTTCGTTTAAGGAAAGCATTTAACCAGTCTTTTCCTGACAAGTTATTTTTAAATTGCTTTCACCATCTAAATAATTTATCACTAAACTTTGTAAATCTGTCTGATCTAATGAGAATCCGTATAAAGATAAGCTACAAACATGTGACATGAAGGCGTCCTCTTCAGCTTTCGTAAAAATTGTCTGACCACCATATTTTTTTGTATGCCTATTTTTTAATCAATGAAATGAGGTTGAATGCTCGAATAAATGAACTTTGAAAATAAGGCTATTATCGAGCACAAGTTAATTAAATCTAGCCCAAGTACTTTCGCTTAAAATAGCATCGTCAGGGGCATTTCGTCAAAATGTGAACTATCCGGCAAGCGTAGAATGTGGAATCATTAAAAATAACATAAAATTGTACAAAACACTACACTAAAACGAGGACAAACAGTTTAAAATTACTTCTACGCTACATTCTCTGTCAGTATCTGGAGGGATATCATTATCCCTCCAGATACTGACAGAGAATGTAGCGTATTTAAAAATTAGTTAACGAATTGCATATGTTTTAGATCCACGTTGTTAATACATAATTGCGTAACTCATTTGCCTATGCATGCATAAAAGTATCCGACGATGGGTGTCAGTTTATCATGACTGTGGTAGTCTGCTACGTTTAGTTCTTGTTCTCTCTCCTTTATATTTTACATTTATTTAAAATACATATTTCCATTTATATACACCATTTACAAGTTTTATTTATTTGTTCAATTGCTTCTTAAAAATTATTTTATAGACCAACTCTGTAATAACAAAAAATCAAATAAATTACTCATTTCCGAGCTCGGATCTTTTCTTCGGATCTTCCGATACTGGCAATAATTCGCCATTTGAATGGTCTTATCGTTGGCTGTCATTGACTTGCTGGTTCTGAGCCTATTAAGGGATCTCCACCTACGGATCCAACGGATAAAGTCTTCCAAAGCTGTAGGTAATGCTGTTCAGCAGTGGTTTAATTGAAGTCGTGGAACTGAATTGAACGTGGAATTGAAGTGGTGGGTTTAATTCAAGATTGAAACGAGATTTCAATCACGTTGGATGACTTGTTTATCCAGACATAGGATAGCGCTGGTCAGTTTCTTGTTTCTTATTCACCTACTACGATCATTTTGATGTTGAAAGGAGAATTCTTATTATAAGGTATATAGTAGAAACCGGAGTTGGTTTTAAAGAAGCAGATATTTTTCGTTTAGTCTAATTAGTAGTGTGATTCATATGGCAAATGTTGGCCTAGCCAGATCAAACTGAAGCCGAGTACTTCGCTGTGGAGAAACACAAAGCCGGGCTAAGGTCCTTAGTTGGATGGCTTTTAAATGTAAGATCTCAACCCACTCTTACCCAATACAGTTTGGTTCGTTGCAGTGATCTAATAGCCCACCTCCCCATGTGCAACTTTTTTCTAGCATGCTGGCTGTTTAAGTGATAAGCGCACTCTTGGGTTTTTGAAGAGTTGGTTTTAATTAGTTACATATTTTCATGGTACTCTTTTAATTTCTTTTCTGTTCCTTCGAAACATTTTTCCTGAACATCCATAGCCGTATCATCAGCAGAGTTAAAGCGTCTCATTACAGGATAGAAAAGTCGTTTGTAGTTAATGTCATTTGTATGTAGTTTGTTTCTGTTACTTAAATATTTTCTTAAGTTAAAATTATTACCAAAGTGATTATAGTGATTGTTTAAGTGCAGGAAATCATACGTGAGTAAAGAAAACTTTGATTTTGTTTGATTGCATGATAATAAACTAAATCAATTATTGTCCTAACTAACCTAACAATTTTGTTAGAATAAAAACAGCAATCATCAAAATCTCGTTGTTCGTCAACTTTTAAATAAAACAGATCCGTACTCAGCCGAATTTATGAAACACTTGTAGATCCAAAAAACATAATCGTTTCATCCAGAATTTCAAACAACCGTGTTTGTGTATACTTATCAAGTAAATCAGCTGTAGACAAATTTTTAAAAGAACATAATTCTATATTCAACGTAAGTCTCACAATTCCACATATTTTATTGGAAACCGAGAAAAACAATTGGATTACAGCTCATGTAACCCCTTACATTCTTACGAATTGCAGCAACCGATCCAGCATTTAGTCACATACTTAGTTTTCGAAGGCAAGTGTACATATCTCCTCCAGAAGATAGTTTCCAAATTCCCGGTATATTAGAAATTAATCATGATGACTTAAAATATCGCATATTTCTTACAACAGATACATTATGCTATAAGTGCAAGTAACGAGGTCATTTTACATCTCAATGTGTCGGCCTCCATCTCCAACTTCTTCAACTTCTTCATATACTAGATCACAACAATAAAGTTTCTCTCTAAACCAATCCTCAGAGAGCAATAATTTAAGTGAGTCTATATCTAATACTATTAACCCTGAAATGATATGTGAACAAACACCAATTACTCCCACATTTAATGAGCCTATTCGCGACATACCCGCTTTTTTTAAAGTTCAAACAACTCCGCTAACTAAACCTACGACCTCTACACGAAACTTATCTGAAATTTCAACACCTAGCCCAAAAGATACACCAGATATTATTAATTCCTCAGAATCAAAATTTTACTTTCCAACACCTGTTCCAAAAGTTCCAAAGAAAAGGTTGAAAGACAAACCCTTATTAGAATTTCGAGAATTGCCCCATAAGATAACCAATTTTATTGACAATCACAATCCCAAGTTTCCACTCGATAGTCAACAATTCACTGATCTCTGATCTGTTAGAGAACACTCACGGTAGTAGTGAGGCATTGCTAAAGACTATACCCTACATATTCCATCTCTTATAAAAATGATAAATGAAATACATTCGTTGGCTGAAGATCGAAATATGAAAATTAAATGTACTAGACTAAGTAAAAAGTTAACTAAACAATTGCTCGAACATGTTGGTTCATCTGATTTAGACAGTGATATATCTTAAAACTAATTATTTAAATAAAAATATATTTCATATATAATAATATTTTACAGTGGAATTTAAACAGTTTTCACACCCGTCTATCCTTATTTCAGGTACTTATTAGGAAATATTCACCTGATATTATATGTCTTCAAAAAACTAATTTTAAAGACAACAATGTGTATAACTTGAAGTCACATAATGTTTACTATCAAAATAGGCAGACAAATCATGCTAATGGTGTTACGATATATGCTAAAACCGATTTATAAGTAAACAGAATCACAAGCAATACAAACTTAAAAGCAATAGCAGTAACAGTAAAAATAGGTACTAATAAAAAAATGAACATATGTAACATTTATATTCCTCCGAGTCAAAATATCCAACGAAATGAACTTTCCGACTTAATTATGTAAATTCCATCACCAAAATTAATTCTTGGGGAGTTTAACAGCCATCATCTTCCATGGGTTTCCGAAAAGACAACTAAAAATGGAAAGTTATTAGCAAACGTAATCAATAGCCTGAATTTACAATAAACGAACGAATGAAACAATAATGAACGACGGAGCTAAAACTCGTTTCGACGTAGCTACTGGAAATTTTTCAGCAATTGACTTGTCTATTTCTGACCCATCGATGTTACTAACTCACACATGGCAAACCGTAGACGATTTACATGAAAGTGATCATTATCCAATAATAGTAACAAAAATTTCCAACCTCACAACAAAAACCAATCCTTTGCAAAAGTGGAAAATTAAGCAAGCCAACTGAAACATTTTTAAAACAAAAGTTACTGAAGAAATATCGACTATCCCTATAATTAAAGAAGACATAACTTAACTTTAAAATTGTTTAATAACTTAATCACTGAACCCGCCGCAATTGCAATGGGAAAAACAAAAAAGACAACAAAAAACAAAGTTGTTCCCTGGTGGAATGAAGAGTGTAAATTGGCAATAAAACAAAGTAAAAAAGCTGTAAATACTTTCAAAAGGCATAAAACCAATGAGAACTTACTATAGCTAAAGAAAAAAGGGCATATGCAAAATTGATTACTACCAGATCTAAAAAAGAGTCTTGGAAAAAATACCTTCAAAGTATTAACAGGAATACAAACATATCATCCGCATGGAAAAAAGTTAAGAAAATATCTGGTGTCAATAAAAAAAATGAAATAAAATACCTAGAACGAAATGGAAACCTAATTAATGAAAACAAAAAAATTGTAGAAGAATTAACTGAAATATACAGACAAGAATTTACAAATGAAAATTACAGCAATACTTTTTTACGTTATCGGGAAGAAGAAGAAGCAAATCCAATAGAAATTATAGCCAATAATGATGATATAAATACACCAATTAATAAAACAGAACTATTAGAAACAATCCAAATGTTAAAAGATACATCATCAGGTCCAGATGACATACCCGCAATATTCTTAAAACAGTTACCTAACGAATCTTTAGACTTCCTATTTAATCTTTTTAATACAATCTGATGTAAACAAAAATTTCCTGACTTATGGAAACAAGCTATTGTCATCCCTATACTAAAACCTAACAAACCGGCTACAGCAGCAGAATCATTTAGGCCAATACCACTTGTCCAATATGTTCTACTTGCAAACTGCTAAAGAAAATAATAAATAATAATTTTGCAATTGGAACATCACAATTTACCGGAACAAGCTGGATTTCGTCCTTTAAGATCTACTATAGACAATGTTTAACATTTAGAAAGTCAAATTAATGAAACCTTCTGTAACAAACAGAAATGCATAGCTGTTTACTTTAACATTAACAAAGCATTTGACTTAGCATATCGACACAGAATATTAACAAAGCTGCAGACTTGGGGAATTCAAGGAAACATGTTGGCATTTTTGTATAACTTTCTAAATGAATGCAAATTTTCAGTACGTAGTAATGGAGAACTTTCTAGTATTAAGTCTCAAAACAATGGAACACCACAAGGATCTGTAATTAGCCCTACACTTTTTTTAATAGCAATGAATGATGTTATAAAAAATCTCAAGAGACCTACACAGGCTAGATTATATGCTGATGATATGATAATGTTTATCAAAGGAAAAATATTAACTCGATGGTCAAACTTTTACAAGAAGAACTAAATAAACTCGAAAGTTGGTCTAATAGGAGTGGATTCTATTTTTCAGCTGACAAGACACAATATATTATTTTTTCCAAAAAGCCTATACACACTAAGATACCTGCCTTAAAATTCGGCACAAAGTTTTTTAAACGAAGTACAGGGATAAAATATTTAGGCATAACATTCGACGAAACTTTAAGTTGGAAACCACATATTAAAAAATTGGCGATATCATGTCAAAATTGTATAAATCTTCTCAAATATTTAGCCAACAAACAATGTAGTGCTGACGGAGATACATTATTACTGTTGTATAGAAGCCTAATCTGATCAAAATTAGACTAAGGATGCATTGCATATACTTCAGCGTTGCAACACAGTCAGCAAATGTAAACACGCCACCTCCCTGGTTAATACCTTTGCCTACTTTAAATTTAGAACTATCATCATATCATAAATCTGAAACTAATCCACAAATATTTATAAGCAATTATAATAGAATACTTTCTTCTTTCCCTGAATATATCCAAGTTTACACAGATGCATCTAAAACAACTTCTGGTGTAGGATCATCATTTGTTATAAGAGACATAACAAAAAGTTTTAAAATTACCCACAGAATCCACTGTGATAACTGAAGAAATGTATGCATTATACAGAGCTCTAAATCACATACAAACAGTCAAATCAGATAAATTCCTTATTATTACTGACTCAATCAATTTCCTGCATATACTTTCAAAAATGTACACCTGCAACCCGATTGCTAAATTAATTAAAAACAAAATGAAGAAACTAGAAAACAAAACATTAGTCTTCGTGTGGGTACCATCACATAATTCATTAAAGGAAACGAACTGGCTGATAAAATGCTCGAGAAATAGCAAATTCCGCAAATATTAGACCGATAATAAAATCATTAGCTCAATCCGTGTTTTAAACAAAAGCTGATATGTAGTTGCACTATATGTTGGGAAGAAAAATCCTCAAAGTTAAAAGAAATTAAATCAAATTTGGGACGATGGAGTAACAACGTCCCTAGCCGTTTCCTTCAGGTTGTATTAACCTGACTCCGATTAGGACACAGCAAGCTCACACATGAATATCTCATGAAGAAGGAACCACAACCAAAACGTACGAGTTGTGACGTGCCGTTAACAGTGAAACACATTAACGGAGTGTCAAAAATATAGTGCTGAAAGACTAAGTAATAAAATTCCATCAGTTATAAAGTTGTTTTTGTGAGTGTACTAGTGAAAATATTGTGAAATTTTTAAGAGACTGTAACATATTGAACCACATATATTTTGTAATCATTATTGTTTACATTAAATCCATCCACTAATAACCAATATGGTTGATGCGGCTGCCTTTAAATAAAAAAATATATATTTTTTCTTTCCATGTATCCTTTTTCAATTGTATTTGACGCCTAATTTCCTTAGTCTACCATACAGTCATTTCCTTTTTACTGTTGCTTTTATTTACACTACATGTTTTTCTTAGCCAAATCGCAAAGAATGCTGGAAATAGCAGAAATTAGAGTACTCAGAAGAATTACAGAGAACACACTGAGAGAGCAAATAAGGAGTGAAGAGATTAGAACAAAATGTAATGTACAGGGTATTGAACGAGTAAAAGAAAGTAAATGTGTGAACAATAAATAGAAAAAAAAAATGGAACAATCATATTAGTAGAATGGCGGACACAAGAGTTAATAAAATAGCAAGGAACAAATTACCATGGAGTGACAATCTTTCATAGTGGCAACAACCCGCCAATAAACAAGAAAAGTGCTTATATAAAGAAAGAAGAATGTTTTTCTGCTATATTCATTTTTGTGTCTTCCAGTGTTTGCCATTCCTTCTCCACATTTTGTTTGTCCCAGTCTCTTATTTATTTAACGAAATGATAACATTAAATTATTTTCTACATCAATCGAAAATAACCATTGTAATTTTATTATGACACTTAAACCAGGAAAAAAAATAAAAAAATTTATATACAGACCCATTTAGAAATAACATGACAGTTCTGTTTTTATTGTCACAACAATGCATGATATACTACTGAAATTTTACAAATTAATCCTCATAGTTAATAACTTTAAACGTCACTAGTAAAAAGTATTTATTGCAAGTATTCTGTTGAACCATTATCATTATAAACTCCGTAACAAACCTATCGAGTAATAATCCAAAATGATTTCGCTGTGATCGACGAATAGTTATTTTACAATTCGGTTTCAAACAATAACTAGGCCATAATACGATTAAAATTTGTAGCTATAACAATTGTTTAAACCCTATTTCCAACTAAATAGATTTATATCTCAAAATGTTTGTGTAAACAGTTTCTATTAGCCCCTATTTGCTATTTATAAATTGTATTCCAAAAAATTATTGGAATGGAGATTCAAATAGGTGCAAGCTTTGTTTTTTAATCAATTAATACTATGTTTGTTTTAACATAATAATTATGTATAATTAGCACTAAGGCTCATTCGACGACGAGATAGATAGAATAAGCTTTCAACAAAACTTTTTGGCGAATTTTTAAATACTATAGAGTCGTATTTATGTATAATTTACACGCACATATTTATAAAATATTGACAGTCGTGATATAAAAATTATATCTCATCTATATTCGAATCAAACCGTCAAGGTATAGTCGCCTCGTATTTCGGT